TAGTGGAAATATGTGGCAGTAAAAAAAAGTAATTTGTGTAGTATACCAGAATATGGTATAATTTTGAAGCAATATATAGGATGTTCCATCAGTTTGTTATCGTTTTCCTATGTATCTTTATCGGGAAAATGATGCATTTTTGGAAGAAACTCACGCAACCTTTTTTAAAGAGCATAAATAGATCTATCATAAGAAAAGGACTCTAGCTCAAAAATTGAGTGAGTTGTGATGAAAATAAGGCCAATACCTAATTTTTTACGAAAAATCGATGAAAACAACCCCTAACCACTCCCATAATTAAAATCAATCTTCACCCTTCTGCAATTCTCTTTGTACATGTATTGTTAATACGTCCAAGAAGTTTGACCCATTTAAAATGCTTAGTTTTAGAAAAGTACAACTTAAAGCGAGAAACGATTTACAATTTCATATTTTTTACCTTCTTTTTTAAATATCCCGAAAATACTGAATATATGAAAGAAATAAAAATGTACTAAATTGTAGCTTTTTTAATGACTAAAATTTTCATTTATTTAGATTTGTTGTACAATGAATATTTGGCGAGATATAGCCGTTTTAAAGCATCGATTTACGATCAAGCACCATCTTTTTCGAGCCCTTTAAACTCACCATATTTAAAAACCAAGGGTTCCAAAGAGATTTAATCACAGATCATTGTAGCTCTTAAAACCTCTACAAAATCGTTTTTGAGGAAACACTCTATCGTTAAAAATGAAGGAAATACGTTAAAAAACAATTAATTTTTTTTCGGAAAATTCATTAGTATAGTACAGTACATTTTGGAGCATAATAATCTACAAAACCGGTATATTTGGTAGTGGGGCGTTATACATTCGAAATTTTAAGCGTTCTTATTTTGAAATCCCATACAACAGAATAAAATATTTGCTCTATGTTTATGGCTTGGCAATGAAAATATCAGAGCAACAGACTGGGGATGGTATTCCAAAGATGGTTTGTTATTAGAAGATGAGGATGACATAGATCACGATGAAGATGTAATTGATGACGAATAAAATTAATATTATAATTGTTTTACCTATAAATGTAAATATTTTCAACTATGTATGTAAATGTATAAGAGTATATGGTGCCTTTTTATGTTGAATTTTTTTGTATTTAATTCTACTTTTTTCAATTTATATCTATTAAATTAGTTTATAAACTGCACCCTTTACAACTGCAATGTTGTAAAGGGTGATTTTCAAAAGTTGAAAAGTTGCAAAATTTTGGCAAAAAATTGTTTTTACCTATAGCACTCATAACAATTGATTTTTAAGGGGTTGAAAATGTATGAATTGTATTTTAAAGTATAAAAAAATCACTATTTAACTAATCCAAACCAAATTTCACTCATCTTAAGATTTGTAATGTTATTTTCAATTTTTGAAAATTAGGGGTAGTTTTCACCCTAAGAACAATCAGGGTTCATCGGCATGACATAAACTATAAAGCAGACGGTGAGTTAAGCTTAATTCCATTTTTTATGCAAATCGTTTCAAGGCGAAATCATTTTCTTCGCATTACTAATTTTTTTACATTAATCTCTAACAAGGGTCGCTTTTTAAGGGTTGAAATATGATGGAACTTTATTCAAAAGCACGAAACTATCATTATTTAATTTATAGGTTTAATATGTTATTTTATAATTTTTGACAATTAGGGGTAGTTTTCACCCCTAAGAACAATCAGGGTTCGTCTACATGACATAAACTATAAAGCAGCGGGTGAATTGAGATTAAATACAAATTTTTATCCGAATCGATCTAAGGCAAAATCATTTTTTTAGAATTAGTATTTTTTTTTACATTAATCTCTAACAAGGGTTGCTTTTTAAGGGTTGAAATATGATGGAACTCTATTCAAAATTATAAAATAATCATTATTTAACTAATTCAAACCAAATCGTACCATATTCAAGTTTAATATGTTATTTATAATTTTTGACAATTAGGGGTAGTTTTCACTCCTAAAAACCATTCAGCGCACTTCGGTTCGATATAGATTTTGATCCTTGGGCTATCACCTACTTTCTGTTAAAATTTCAACTCAATTCATGCAGGACGAAAAAATTGCGAGGTTTCAACTTTTTTCGAGCTTCATTTCCTGAACTATTATCGTTTCCTTAGACAAACCCGTCTTACACAAACAACATTGTTGCGAGACAGCTAGTTGAACGATATTTTATACAATGTCTATACCCAGGTATGAATTTATTTTTGTCCAAGTTTTATATTGGTCCACTATTTCAAATGCAGTTCAAACAGACATATTAAATTGTATATTCCGTTTAAATTCGTTCTATCTGTATATGTGAATGTATAAAGGTTATAAAGCTTTTGTAGATTTCTAATTTAGTAGATTTTTAGAACAAAAAATCGCAAAACTCACTAATTGAGCTATTTTTTCAACAAAAACTTACAAATAAATCAAAAAGGAAGCATTTTTCGTAAAGTTACCAAGAGAGAAAAACTATTTAGTTGACGAGATAAGTCTAAAACAATTTTAATCGAAGCCAGTCAGGAAATTGTTTTTTGTTATAAGTTATTTGTTAATTTCTAGCTCACTTGGAAAAATTAAAAAAATACGTATATAGAATCGAATAAAAAAAGGTTTGTTGCGGTAGAAATGCAAAAAATTTTAGGGGTAAACAGCTCGCCTATTAGAAATGTAGCAGATGCGCAAACAAGCTGCAACTATCGCTCGTCCAAAACTCGCATCCGTAATATCTCAAAAGTTATTTTGGTCAATCAATGTTGAAACGAATCAACTTCGGTGATGATTAACTACGATATTCTCCTTTCCGGATATGAAAAACTAACTTTTGACTAAACCTTACACCCTAATAGCACACATTGAAATGTCCTAAGCGTAAAAAAATATTAATTCAATAAAAGGTATATATATTTGGCTAACAACATACAATACTGGTCAATAAAAAAACAATAATCCTTAAAAAACGGTAACGGTGAAACTTATTGCTATGTAAAAATCACACTCGGTGGCAGATAATCCTCTAAAATATTACCACGTGTGACACTAATATCAGGTCAGTATAGATAAAATATAATTAATATGGATGGTTTAAAAATACAACCTGAAGAGACTACGTAATCCATTTTTTTTTTTGATTACTCATTTTTCATTTAAAATTTCAAAAGTATGCTTGAATTCATAGTTCTTTGTTCAGCAGTGTATAAATAAAAGTTTTGTTACAATTTGATATAATAAACAGCCACCTAAAATTAGTATCAACGTTTTAAGATTCACAAATTATATAGATACCAAAATATAACCAACTGAGAGTAGTGTTTTTTTGCTGTAATGAATAAGTCGGCATATTCTCATATGAAGGAGAGTATATTACAAAAATAAACGTGTAATATGTGTTTTTATTGTAATATTGTAGTTTATTAGAGGTGATCGATATCGTTCCTTTTAATGATTCGAATTAAGAGTTGATAAAATCAAAGCTCCTTTATAAACGACCCCCTTTTGCTGTATTAGTCCAGTAAAAATTGTAGGATTTTTATTACCTAGCTCCTTGCAATGCAATGATACATAATGAAGGAAATTTGTTAACTGAAGTCGATTAATAAATTTTAACATAAATACGCAAAAACGCTACGATTAAGTTCAATATTTGTTTAGAATTTCACCGCGGAATCGTTGCTACGGAACGAATCGCTTCCTTCCTCTCTTCTGATTCCTTTTACGGTTCCATTGTAACGATTCATTTAGAACCGAATAGTTTTTTGCAACAGTGCCGTATTTTTATTATAAAGTCGATTCTGTTCGTAACTCGCTGATATTGTGTGATGAATGTTTGTCACTGAAACCTGAGTTTGAACAAATATTTAAGAGCGCTAACGATTAAGTTCAATATTTGATTAAATTTTCACCGCTGAACCGGAACGGAACGACTCACTTAGATTCCTTTTACGGAACGGTTCCACTGTAAAGATTCATTTGGAACCGACTTTTGCAACGGTGGCCAATTTGCAAACTGTTATTATAAATACACCACAAATTGTACAATTTTTATTTTATTGTTTATACTATTTGTAATTCACTGATATAGTACAATGGAATTTTTGTCATTGAAACCAGAATTTGAACAAAATATTGAAAACCGCTATGACGAAGCCAATATTTGATTTGATTTTCACTGCGGAATAGTTCCTACGTAACGAATCCCTTAGATTCCTTTTACGGAACGGTTCCACTGTAACGATTCATTTAGAACCGAATGGCTTTTGCAACCCTGGTTTATTTGCAAACTGTTATTGTAAATACAACCCAAATTGTACAATTTTTATTATATACTTCATACTATTTGTAATTCACTGATATAGTGTGATGAAAATTTGTCATTGAAACCAGAATTGATGAGTTTGACCAAAATATTCAAACCGCTACAACGAAGCTCAATATTTGATTCGATTTTCACTGCGGAATCGTTCCCAGGCAACGAATCCGTTAGATTCCTTTTACGGGACGGTTCCACTATAACGATTCATTTAGAACCGAATAACTTTTGCAACGGTGGCCTATTTGCAAACTGTTATTGTAAATACACCACAAATTGTACAATTTTTATTATTTATCTTATACTATTTGTAATTCGCTGATATAGTGTGATAAAAATGTGTCACTGAGACCAGAGCTGTTTAGTTTGAACGAAAATATACACAAACGCTACGACAAAGCTCAATATTTGATTAGATTTTCATTATGGAATCTTTGCTATAACGAATCGGATCATCAAAAGGAACGACTAAATACAGCTCTATTGTTCAACTTCGAATCAATTCCAAGGGAAAAATACTCTACTTCAAGTTGGTATATAGTTAGCTAGATCTGTTTTAGTCCTCACTCTCAAGCAACACATTTGCTCCTCAACCCTCTCTTGTAAAACCCGTAACACATGCAGTTTTTAGTAACACAACAGAAAAAAACCGCTCTACATCGTGTAGAGTCTACTCATCCCCTGAGCCTATACAACAGGAACTTCTATTCTCTGAGTGCTTTTTCCTCAAGTCTACAGTATCATTCATCGCTGTATCGATTTTATCGGCCCTAGATTCCAGTCGCAGCCAGTGCTGAACAGCCATTTTGAATGCTTCTTGAACGTTATTGGCGTTCTTAGCTGACGTTTCTATGCTGGACGTTATGGAGTTCTCGTTACACCACGTTTCCATTTCCAATTGCGAGACTTCTCTTTCTTCTGTCGGTACATCTGACTGAAAATGACTAATGTTAAAAAAACAGAGACAAGATTCATTTCAATGCAGTTTTTGATGTGATCTGGTCACGTTAACGAAACATAGGCGTTACAGTTAACTTTTAATAGGTGTAACACATTGAATAAATTAATATTTTTTCACAAAAATGGAGTTAGTAAATAGACTACGGTAGAGTATAAATGAAAATAAATTATTCTCTCCTTTACTAAGCCAACAAATGTGAATATTGTCTCCGTATATGGTAAATAATATAACATAACTACAGCTTACCTTATTTCCTACAACGATGAATGGAAATTGAGTGTTTTCTCTGATATCTGCGTAATGTAAAAACTCATTTCTCCACATCTGGATATTTTTAAAACTAGACTTGTCATCTATAGCATAGGTCAACATACAGATGTCACTGCCTCGATAAAATGGAGTCCTCAGTGTTTTGAACCTTTCCTGGCCTGCAGTGTCCCAGATCTAAATAAAATATATGGTAAGAAGGGGGGAATCTGTTGGGATAATCTTACAATCTAACACATTTTTTACCATGTTTTCTGTACAAAATATATCAATACTTGATTTGGAAATGCTTTAATTGTAATAACCTAGTATTAAAAGGTCAAAACAGTGGAACAAACACATTAACAGAACGTAAGAAAGGAGTGGGATGAGAGTTGCTCAAGATAAATTTTTAATAGGATATATTATATATATTTTTTAAACTTATACAGAAGTTAAAACACTTCACATTTGTATTTAGGTATAAAAACATATAGTTAAAACTCTTAAAAAGTGTCGTCAAAATTTATATAGTAGCATAATGTGATGTTTTCGATCTAATCAAATCATCTTCAGTGCCTTCTTATGTAATTGAAGCTAACACTATATGGTTTTACATTATGCAAATTTAAATTATATTGTGAGTCTAGGTTGATGACATTGGATAAAAATTAATTCTTGGGGAGCTACAAGCTGTCTCCTTGCTTGGTTTGTCAGTCAGTTGTCAACTGACAGAATATGCGGACAACTGGTATAATAGTGTTACTTTGGCAGAAACATTACCGGATAGACAAACCTTTTTAGTAGGGACACTTCGAGCCCATAGGAAACGCAATCCAATTGATGTTACTGCAATAAAACTAAAAAAAGGTGATATTGTTGTAAGGCAAAATGTTAATAGTGTAATGGTTTTAAAGTGGAAGGATCAGCGAGATGTGCTTACTATAAGTTCGAAACATATGCTTTCTATGGTAAATGTGATACAAAGAAGAGAAGACAAACTTAAACCGCAGTTTGTAGTAGAATATAATGCAACAAAATCCTTCATAGATGTATTGGATCAAATGAATTCGCATAATTCATTTTCAAGGTCATTGAAATGGTACCGAAAAGTTGTCTTTGATACTTTACTAAATGTTGCCGTTGTAAATGCTTGTCACTTTATTCTAAAATGTTAAATAAATCAATAAAAATAACAGAATTTAGAGAGAATAAACGCGATTATGTACTGCTTGCGAATAATTTAGACCATTTAGTAAAATGTCTAAAAAGAAACCACTGCAGCCAATGCTATAGGAATATTGTTAACAAGCATGGAAGACAAACAGCACAACAGGAGACTCCACGTGTGTGGATAAAGTGTTTTGCTTGTGCGAAATATTTGTGCTTTGAATGCTTTTTTAAGGTAAGTTGTCGACTATTTTTTGTACCGTTTTTGGAGTTATGCTACTTGTTAAATAAATATTTGGGCTAAAAAAGCGTTTTTATTACACTTTGATAAACGACCTTCATAAAAAAATATAATACCATCTAGCTACGGCTAAAATCATGGAAGGGTTTTTTAAGGCCAAAACTTTAATTTCTCTATATAAAATGTACAAGTCGAGTGACTGCTTAGGTACACAGCATGCAGTTTTGTAAGTTATACTGAGTACCATACATGGCGCTCAATATTTGAACTTATCTTCTGGACTGAGTACCATAGGTGGTACTCAAATGACTTTTTGACAATGCAAGGAAAAACAGGCTGGCAGTCAACCTGTTAAGAATTAAATGTAAATAAATATCATTTGATAGTAAATTTAATTATCAGATAAACTAAATAATGTTTAAAAATAATAATTGTATTTATATGAAATTATTTTAAAACGAGAATTATAAAAATTTGTAATTTTAATGTTGTTATTAATCGGGTGGCATTTACGACTTATCTTAAATTCTGAGGATCGGTATGAATCGTATTTGTTAGTGACAGTTTAATTTTTTTACTTCTCATTTAATGTCTATATGTTTTTAGTTATTTGTCATGAAGCTTTTAATTTAAACCTGCTTAGAGTAAATATATGGTGACTAGAAACAAATTGATCGGCAAATTTGAAGATCTCAAGGCTCATGCTACTCCCAAAGGGGGAAGACAAATATCGACCTGTTTGCTTTTTGTCGTGCATAAGTAAATTATACGAGAGACTCCTAAGAGGGCGAATAGACAGTGATTGAAGAATCAATCACCCAAGCAGTACAGTTTCAGAAAGAACAGAAGCACAGTGGATGCTGCGATGGAAGTCTTCCGGGAGTTACGCGGGGTGATAGCTAACCATAGGTGGGCACTGTTGTTTGACGTCAGGAATGCTTTCAACACATTAAAATGGAAAGAGGTAATGAAGGCTCTACGAAGGCTCATGGCAAATGCCTATATTGTGAAATATTTGACACTGTCTCATACACTCAATTGGTATGCCATAGATGAATAGTTAAGAGAAGCTGCTTGAGAGAGAGAGCTAGGAAGTAGGGTGCAATCAGTCACGGAACTGGTGGAGAAGATGCTTAGGCCGTCGATGGAGAGCAGTTCAGAGATATGTGAGGAGAATATTGGAGAGAAAGGCGACCAGAAGGGAAAGGAAATGAGCAAGAAAGAAGATAGGCGGAATAAGAAGGGGTGAGATGGAACATGAAAGGGAGGAACAAAGGGAGAGAATTCAGGCGTAGTGAGAAAGTGCTGGAATGCGTGAATGAGAGATCGGGTGAATGCCATGCCAACGTTTGCGTCCCAATCAGCTCGATCCAGCCGGTAATTCACCGATGAGGATGTTTTTTCAGCAGGTAGGTCTCTGGCATTGACGGCGATGGTGTCCGAACAACACTTGTGCGGCATCGGATATCATCGTGGCCACGCTGGAGGAGTCCTGCATAATCGAGGCTGGAAGGCGGTTCTGCCCACCTTCTAGGACCGAGGTGTGTTTCGAACATTTGAACCATCCCTCCTCATAAAAAAAATTGATCGAGAGTAATAAACTGATGTCAAGAACCGCTATTTGATGACGCTACCCGTGACGACACCATTTTGTGGCGTTAGTTACGTGACGCTCGTCTCAGAATTTTACTGTAGAGAAAAAAGTAATATAACGCCATTACAGAATCTTTGTAAATCTAAATCATCATCATTCTCATGCAGAAAAGCTTTAATACAACTATATGATTGATGTTCTTCAAATAACAAGTTTATTATCATCCTACACTTTTAAAGGATCTTAATATAAGCTATTTAACAAACTACAATTTCACAGATATCCATTTGTTAAAATTATAATGTCCTTGGAATGACAAACGTTAGTGATATATGTACAGACTTCCTTATTATTGAATACCAGCTTTGGAATGGTTTTATAAATTAGCTAGTACATAATGCAACAGTTTTTATCAGTAACAGCTGATTGTATGTTTGTTTTTTTTTTAATTATTTCACAGTGAGCATTATCAAAACAACACTTCTTGGGAAAAAAATGAATATGTCAAAATATATATAAATTTCATCATCAATTTATGATTAATACTATGATAAAATGAACTTTAAATATTTATTTAAATGTGTAAATGTTGTAGCCTGACGAAATAAAATTCCAATACACAACTAATAATAAAATTCATTTCAAATTTGGAATATTTCAAATTGTACAACTTTTTTTTTTAATTCTTGCAAAAATGTCAGCTTTTAAAATAGTATAGAGATTACATCTACAAGTAATAGTTAAGTTATTTTAAGTATTTATAAACCAAAAATTAAAGAGATTTCACAAAAAGATTTTGTATTAACCAAAATGATTTTTTTTATTTGTTTTTGGTACATAAGCTAAATGTGGATATAGTTGACATCAGTCCGAAAGTTTTTTGGGAAGACATCCTTGTTTACAAGAACAAATAGCACAAAATTTAACAGCTTCCACGGCCTTAATAAGTAAGCACGGCCTAATAAATTGGTTTGATAAAATAACAAATTATCTGTCAAACAAAGATCAACTTCAAATACTACAAAATCCTTCACGTGGTTTTCAATGCAAATGATACTGCATTATTTCTGAACCCGAAAGGTACAAATGTACTGGTATGTAAAGGTAAAAAAAGTGTTTACCAACAGATTAATAACAGATAACTGCAAACGCTGATGGCTATTTTGCTCCTGCTATGATTGTATATAAATATAAAAAAATCCCACATAGATTGCCTACAAAGTGCCGAAAGGTTGGTCAATGGGCAAATCTGATAGTGGCTGTATGAATGAAGAACTATTCTTCAAATACATAGCAAATATCTTTCATCCTTGGCTACAAACACAAAACATACAGATACCTATTGACGGTCATACTAGTCATTTAACACTGCATACCAGTGAATTTTGCAGTAAAAATGGAATAATACTCATAGCATTACACCCAAATTCAACTCATATTCTCCAGCCATTGATAAGATTTTTTAAGCTTATGAAAACAAGGTGGAAAGCAATAATTCACCAGTGGCGTGTAGATAATACTCAATCACTAATTTAAGAAAAGCTGATTTTGCACCTCTCGTATATAAAACTCTTGAAAATTTTGAGAAACAAATTATAAAAAATATCTTTAGAAAAAAATGGTTTAATGCCTTGGGATAAAAATGCTATAGACTACTCAAAAGTGAAAGACACTTGTCAACAAAATCAAAATGACTTAGAAGAGCCTTTAATACAATCAATGTCTAAAACATTAAATGAAGAAGATGGCCTTGCTTTCCTGGAAAAGAAAATAGGTGGCGAAAAATTGCTGGTATTTAAAAATTGTCATGACGATTGGAATGGTCAAAAACAAGACAAATCTCTATTCCTTATGTGGAAAAATGTAACCAGTAGACTTCATCGGATTCCAACAGTACAAAATATAGATGAAAATCACATACTATACCTTATTCCATTAAGCGGTGCAGGGCATATAAACAACGATAAATTTAACAGATAATTGTTAAAGATGTTCCAAATGAGTCTACTCGTTCTGATAAGTAACACTATAATTATGACACTTTATTATTTTTTTTCTTTTCTCAAATATTCGTGTTTATTGCATAGTAAATAAATTAATGTTATCACTGAATACAAAGTAAGTGAAAAAATACTCCGATTTATAAAATTAATGAATATTTTATGCATAAATGCAAGTAACAGTTCTTCAAAAATATTTAAAAACTAACCGGAATATCCATCTTTATTTCGTCTGGCGATGTTATCGGCGGTTCATACCGGTTCGGACACGATTTAATGTTTATATTTTCCTGCACCGCTTAATGAATTTTACTATAGAAACTTCTACAGTACCAATAACTGAAGATGCAGTAATGGCTTGTTCCAGTTCCAGTAATGGCAGATTTCATGTGATTCCAATAGCACAAAATATATTCTACAGTATCAACAACTGAAGAGTGGAGGGGGGGAGTAAAATAATCCCATCTCCATTTAAATCCGTCCTGTTTTGGTATGAAGAGAAACATTCAGAAAATAAATGATGCAGAAAACAGAAAACTAAAAAAGCAGAGACAGAGGCATTAAAAGTTAAACAAAAAGAACAAAGAAAAAGGAATAAGGTTGAAAGTTCTAGCAGCAATTCAGATGAAGAATGGGTGGAATCTAGTTCCTACACAAATGATGTTAGTTTTGCGTTAATAACAAGTGAGATTTGTAACTGTAACTCTAACTCTGAGCATGTATCATTCAATAACAAGCTATTAATGAAATTCAGCATTAATGATTTTGTGCTTGTTAAGTTTTTCGGTAAGAAAACGAATAAATATTTTGTTGGCCAGATAATTAATATTTCTGACAATATATCAAACAAAAACATAATCCAAACAATTTAATAGAATGAAACTATGAAATAAGCAAACTAAATAATCAGGTGATATACACCATGGGGCAAAGTTCTTTACCCAATTTGTTAACATGGTTCATAGTTCTTACAATTTAACATTTAACACAAATTGCAAACACATACAAGAATAGATGATATTAATAATAAAAAAATATATAAAAATTACTTCAATCCAGTTATAAGTATGTACTTTGCTTTGTATAGTTTGTTATTCAATCAACAGCATAACATTGCAAAAAAATGCCCCACATAATTAAATTATTAATAAAATTATAATTGGGAACAAACTGAATGTCGCTCAATCACAATTAATAATACATTGTCAGATAAGAACACCTTGAAACGCGTAATAAAATGCTTATGATAAGGAAAACTATGAAAAACATACCTGTAGAGTGTAAGTTTCTCCATCAATTTCTATGTCTTTATTCAGGAACTCCACGCCAATTGTATGAAAGGAATGTTCATCGAACTGATTCGAGACAAATCTATTCATAAGACAACTTTTCCCGACACCCCCATCACCGAGAATCACTACTTTCAAAAGGGTATTTTTACTGTTGGACCTCATCTTGTTCACTGTTCACTCTTGATATTTGTATTAAATTTATCACATGGTTTGTACAAACATTGACTTTGTAATGTAAATCCCTGGAATAGAAAGAACTGTGTAAGATTGTCTTGGTCTGTATGACTCATGATGTTTTTATTGAATTAATTGGACTCATTTTCAGACACTAACCACAAAATAAACATTATTTACCTGCTTTCAAGTCGGTGCTGCTAAAATTTTACAGTGTACTATTATTGACCAACATTCTGGACGCAATTATTTCGTAAATCTTTATTTAAAAATATTGTTTTTTATCATTGAATAAAAATATCTAATCACACACTTTAGGTGTCACTCATATGACAGTATTAATGACATAAGAAAAAACCTTGAAATTTTAAAAGGAGAAAGTCGATATGGGATAAAAAGAGAAAACAGGAATTTATGGCCAATTGGGAAGTTTTTTGTGACCTTCACAATGTAAATTTGCGTAAACTACTCTTTTATGTATCGATCAACAGATGGCAGCAGGATAACACATTTTAAGATTTTAGGTATAAGAATTTCTTTTTCTTTATCTTAGGAAAATTGTTTTAGAAGCAGACTCTTAAATAATTCATTTAAATAATACTTGTGTATAAAAAATATTTCAACCCTTGTGGCAGGAAGACTATATAATATTTAAAGTTTTCAAAACAAACTTCCTGAGATTTATTTTTTAGTAATTCTGGAAATTAAATAATACAACAATATTATGTATGGGATGGGACAATTTAAGAAGTTCTTCATTCTTCTTATGAGTCCCAGGATATACCAAAATGACTAGTTCATGCCCAAAGCGGAAAATTTCTACTTAATTATTCGAAACAATTCATATATCAAATTGTCCTCTTGAAGAGCCATCTCCGTTGTCGAGCTTCGAAATCGACATAGCAACTTTGGCTTCCGACGCAGCTATTCTTAAGAGTTTTTTTGGGACTGCAACAATAAGATTGTGTCGGTACCTCAGCCAAGATATTAGACCTTCATCATACATTCCTTCTGCACTCTACTTTGACTTGGGTTATGAGTCGCTGTATTTGTGTGAGATATTGCGGTTTTCTTCATTTTATTATGCTTCAAATTTTTTTCTTTTATAAAATATTTTAATGTTAAACATCGTTGGACAATTAAAAAACGACAGGGTCTATTTATAACAAACCTTATATTAAACTTTGTCTTTGTTATGGTAAACTAGAAGAAACTATTTTGTAAGGTTATATTGAACACTTCTAAAATATAGCTCAATAGAAAACAATGTTGGATTCAAAAATTCCTTCTATAATAACAAAAACGTAATCTTGGCTGCCTAGCTATCAGGTGCAAATTTGACATCCATAAACACCTTGTTAATAACCATTGTAACAAGTTAATTATTGCTTGTGCAACTCTAAAAATATCAATAACCGTTTAACACTTTTCTAAATTTATGTTTATTTTGTTTAAAATTGTTTACCTTGTACCTTTCACTATTCGAAGGTCCCGCTAACAACTTTTACAGTTACAGTTACGTCTGGCAGGTGTCAGCACCTTAGCCTTTTTAATTTCCATTGTTTTTACAGACACATTTGATTTGTGAAGGCGAGCGGAGCTGGTTTTGTTTCTGTTGGAACTACAAACAAAAGTTAACTCGTTTTAAAGTTGTTGATTAGTACTTTAGTTGAATTAAACGCTGTAGAAGTGAATGCGACCAGTTCGAAGTGAAATATCTTTGTTATGTATGAATGTGTCCGTATATATTAGTAAAGGTTGTGTTATATACCTGGGTAAAGTCAATAAACTCTATCGAGGAGTGCCATGAAATGGTATTTGAGAAAGTGAAAACAGACATTACTTAATTCATCTCAGTTTTATTTAACACCAGTTACTCTCGATCGAAGACTGAGCAAAGTTTACCAGAAATACCTAACAGAATGTTGAAATCATTGGAAAAAGGTAAGTAGTCCTTTAAAACGTTCATATCGAATTAGTTTCTAGAAGCCAACGGTAATAATGCAGGTATTTAGTGAGGAATGTTGCTTTTGCATTTTAATTAGCAGTAAAATATATTTTTCTGTATTTGTGTCCAAGGTGAACATAAGTGAGTACAGTCATTCACCTAATCGCTCTGTCTCACTCTTGCACTCGCTTGGACAGTTAAAAAAGTATATGACATGGGCGACATTGTCAGATTTCCCACACAATTATCAACACCCACAAAAATGCATTGTTCCTGTAAAGAAAATATAAACAAACTGATTTTAGATCTATTTTATATCTAATTTATATCTAATTCTTCTCCTAGATATAATATTCATCAAGAAAAATTCGTTTATTTTCATAATTTTTTTTGTTTTGATATTAAATTCTGCTATTCTGTTGTGATGTCTCTTGTATATCATAATTATCATTACCCAGTCTTTATTTCAAGTTCTGGACATAGGCTTTCTTGGCTAGTAGACAGTTTTTCAATATCGATAGACTTTTCAGTCCAGTGTGTTAGTGGTCACTGCTTTTAACCATTCCAACAGTTTGTGTGTTCATATAAATCCTCTGAGCATGGCGATATGTCCAACCAACTCCTATTTCAGCATCTCTATGTATGTTATGCCATCAATAACCTCCAATCCTTTAACATAGTTCACTGTTTCATACTCTGTCGCAGAGAGTTATCCTTAACATTGATCATTCCATCTATCTTTGTGTGAATCTCATTTGGTTAGACCCCCCTAAGCGTGCAAAGTTCTGATCCGTCAATATGTCAAAATAGGAAATATGCACTGATTGAATATCTTTCTCTTTAAAGAGATTCTTATTTTGCATCCAAGATATTTGGATTTTTTGACCAATTCAATTTTTTCTTAAATCATAAAGATTTGTCATAAAAAATCTAGTCACATTGGAATTCATTGTTAGTCGTACTTGTAGAGAGGTATCAGCATCTAAGTCATTTCTTTCTATGGTGTTGCCCCTTTTCCACATTTCTCTACTTTCTTTTTTGGTGGGAAACATTTTTGTTTACTTTGTTTACTGTTTTTAATAGATTATACTATTTTTTCTTTGTTGAGTAAATATATTTGAAAAATATCTGAAATTAACATTTTTTCATAAGTAAGATTCCTCCATAATTTGTTACTCTTATATTGACTTTCTATTATATTATGTCATATATTTCAGTCACTTCCAAACTTTTTCTTTCTTCTTTATTAAATTGTATAAGTGAATACCATAATTATTAAGGCCTTACAGGTCTTTATTTAAATAATTTCCTTGTCCATCTATTCATGAAGTAATTTTTGAAGAAATTTGATAAATAGGTAAATTCTTTTCGAAGGAATGACCTTATTGAATTTAGAGTTAATAAGCCATTCTTTTTATTTTTATGCCTTTTCTTTTTCTTAAAGGAAAAGCGGCTCTGGGGTATTGAAGCTTGGTACATATTGCCTTCTCATGTTCAAGAATTCTCTTTCTGAATTCTGAAGAATTTTGCAATCATCATCATCTTTGGCTGTACAACCCTGGGTGGGTCTCAGTCTGTTCAAGAATTAGTCTCCATTCCCCCCCTATCTTTTGCCCTGGCTTTCCAATTTCTGACCCTAGATTCCTCAAGTCATCTTCGACTTGAGTTTTAAATCTAGATATTGGCCTGCCTCTCTTCCTGGTTCCTACTGGATCTTGATCTGTCTTTGGAGGTCTCCAGTGTACATTCTTTCAAGGTGTCCTAGCCACCTTAGTCTGTTAATTTTAATACTTTCTTGTACTCCTCTGTATATGTGTCTTAAGTATTCTTTCAAAGCAGCCTAACAGTTCTTTGTTACTTTTTACCATAGTCCATGTCTCTGACGCATATGTCAGGACAGGTTTAATAAGAGTTTCAGACTCTTAATTTCTACTCTTACTAGGTTGCTGTTATTTAGTTGTGTTAAAAGATATACAAACTTCTAGGCCCCTTCGAATGTGTGTACTTCTGTCACTAGATCTTATGGTGTAGCTATTTGTGTGATGTTTGTGACCTTCATGTATTTTGTTTTGGATACGTTGACCTGCAGTCCCATTGTCTTCGAGCCTTTTTTTAATGTTTCAGAAGCCTGTATCAGGTCTCCTTTTGTCTTTGTTACAATGTCAATGTCATCTGCATATGCCAATATCTGTACACTTCTATTGATGTTATGCCCGATTTCTCTAAGGCTCTTTCTAGCACGATGTTAAACAATAGGCAGGATAGAGTGTCTTCCTGGCGTAATCTACTGTGTGTTTGAAAAGATCTTGACACTCTGTTTTATACCTTGACTTTACACTCAACTTTCGAAAGAGTTGCCTTTACCAATGTTATTAGATGCGATAGAATATCTAGTTCTGCCATGGCATTATAAAGTGCGCTTCTGTCTACACTGTCATAAGCGCTTTTAAAATCTATGAATAGGAGGTGGGTATCAATTCCATATTTATGTCTTTTCTAAGGTTTGTCTGCGAAGGAAAATCTGATCAATTGTTGACCTTTGTTTTTGGAATTCACATTGGTATTTGTCTATTTTTTCCTCAGTATATACTAGTAAACAATCATATTTTATAAAAGCCCATACTTTGTAACAAGTTTTATTATGTATTTTCGTAGGGTGTTTGCTCCATACTTCAGCTCAAGGAGTATACCATCTTCTCCAGAGGATTTGTTGTTTTTTAACCTTTTTATTGCCTTGGCAACTTCTTCTGTTGGTATAATATTTTCTTCCTCTCATCGTCTATGTCTCTACTGTGGTCATTTATGTCAGTCACTTCTGGGTTGTCTATATTTAATTTCTCAACAAAATTCTCCTCCCATCTCTCCACTATTTGATCTGGCTCATTGATAATTTGGCTTCCTTACTTTTTATTATGGTTATTCTAGGTTTAAATTATTTTCTGTTGTCGTTCACATTTTTATAAAATTCTCACGCTTCCCTTTGGGAATTGAGCCTTTCTAGTTCCTGTAGCTGGTTTTCTAAATGTCGTTTTTTCTTTTGTTTTAGTATCTTTTTCTCTGCTTGTCTCATCTGTTTGTACTACTCTTGATTTTGTCTGGTCCTTGAGTTTCCCATGCACCCGATTCTTTTTTTGAGTTGCCTGTGCGCATTCCGCGTCATTTTCTGCATTTTTCAATAGCTCGTATCAATTTATTTTTAAATATACAATTAAAAGTAATACATTATATCATATAAAAATCAACACTTGACTTGGAAATTTGTTATTTAAGACGAAGTGCCAGATTTTTAAGATACTGGAGAAAATAATTGATATTCTGCGTACAGTATTATGCAGGAGAGACGCCAGATGCATGAAGTGGTTTGGACACTTTACAAGAAAGGAAGACAGATCAAGAATACATAATTTTAATAAATTCTAAATCGTATTTAAAAACCAATATTAAAAACCATTTACCAATATAAAACGCTCAGGTATTTGTATAATTGTAACACAATGATTCAGTGACAACATGTATAATAAATTCTATGTATTTTTCAACTTCCTAGTTAAGATTTCTGGAACTAAAATCCGATAAAATCTGCATTCTCGAATAGGCGGCAACGCCGCATTAGTGACAGGTATGGCGAGTGTATAATACACAACTTGAAGGTCGCGCCTCGGGTCACGTGACGTACCAGGGCCGGACCAAGGACGTTCAAACACCTTTCTCGCAGCCGTGCTCACAGATTGCAGCATTAAAAGTATTACATGTCGTTTACTAACAGTTATTATTGTATATGTTATAGAGAATCGGCGTTTGTTGTCTTATTACTCGATGTCGATGCGATTGCGACATATTATAGAGAGTAGGACCGTTGGTTTTTTGGTGTTTTTGTGATTAGAACAATTTTTAGTTTGTTTGTGTGGAATTTATTAACTGATTGAAGGTAAATAATGATTTTAAGCAGCTATGAAATATGTTAATCAATAACGGACAAGATTATTTGTGTAACATTGGAGTTAATGTCAGGAACTGTCAGGACATTGTCCTATATTTTGGTAATATTAATTTTTAACTGGGATGGTGATAACTGTCTTGACGGATTGTGGGTGGTGTTTTTGTTGTTTTATTGTCTAGTCGTACATCTTACTAATTTAGTCAAAGTGTCGTCTATTAGTCTAGTATCGCAAGATAGTATTGTTTCTGCCATGAAATCTTTGCCAAATCCATTCCTTTGATGCGTGTCTCTATTGATATTTTCTGGCTTTTTCTTATCGTCTCTTTTGGATAGTCGTACCTATTATTAGTTCGGTAGTTTGCCTTTTACGTTTTGTTTTGTGTTTTATAAGACAGTTGTAATCTTCTTCCATAAAAGTTGTGCTATCATACATTTCTAAATCGAGTACAGCATTTTTTATTGTTGACTGGCATATCTGAGTCGAAATATATATTTTCAGGGATTCTACAAGATTCACTGCCATCGTTTAGGCCTCTCTTACTCATGGCGTCGTCGTCTACTTCGTTCCTCCAGGATTTTCGTCGTCTTCTTTTCTTCCTTCATATGGGGCTCCATTCGGTTATTCTCTTTATCCATCTGCCGTCGCTAGTTCTTCTTACATGTCCATACCACTTTAGTATTTTTTGTTCTATATATGTTTTTGTTCTAAATGGATCAAATTCCTTCAGAATCACGGCAGATGCAGAATTGAGGGATATTCTTTTTCAACCACAGACGTGGCCGAAGGGCATAGAGGTGAGTGAATATTTTTTTCGCAGAAAACATTCCGGCGATAAATCTTCTAGATACATCAACCGAAAAAGACAGAAGTGAAAGTGTTGTATCTTATATTAAACCAAAAACTTTAGCAAACTCTGACCAGATTAGTCTAGTTAATATTTTACATATAAACACACAAAGTTTATTAAACAAAATAGATCAGCTTAATATTTTTTTGAAAAATAAAAGATACAATATATTATGTTTCTCTGAACACTGGCTCAGAGAAAATGAATTAACAACATTAAAGCTTGATGGGTATTTTTTGTCAACTTTTTAGTGTAGGAAGGTAAGGGAACATGGAGGTGTTGTAATTTTTAGCGATAATAAAATCCCTACACGACCAATTTGCTTAAATGATATATCATGTGAATTTGAGGGTGAATTTTGCGCATTAGAAATTATAGATATTAAAGCTATTTTGGTGACAGTGTATAGAACCGGAAATGGGAATTTTAAAGTTTTTCTAGAGCTATTTGAAAAGTTATTGGAGTTTTGCTCTGCTAATTTTTTAGAAATAATAATAATTGGTGATTTCAACATTGATTTTAAAAAATCTTCTAATGAATTAAACAGTTTCCGTGATCTAATTTCTACTTTTGGATTAACCATAAATATTAATGAATTTACTAGAATCACAACTAGATCAGCAACTTGTTTAGATAACATCTTAACAAACATAAGCAGTGAGATAGTTGGTTGTGGAATTGTGGACCCGTGTATTTCTGATCATCATGCACAATTTCTCTACTTAAAAATAAAATCTGAAAAAAAACATAGTGCTAATCCATACAGAAGACATATAACAAGTAATGGCATCCGGATGTTAAAACAGTCGTTAAACAACGTTGACTGGGCTTCAGTTGGTTATCTCAACACAGCAACAGAATTAGCTCAATTTATTACCGAAATGTATGCTAAGTTAACTGAAATTAATTTTCCATTAAAAAAATCACGAACTCATAGTAAAGCTCCAATTTCTTGGTTTGATGATGAATTAATAGAAATGCGAAAAAATCTTTCCACAGTCAAGATAATTGCTGATGTTACAAAGGAATATAGTGAGTATAAAAAATTTAAGAAGCACTATAAATCAACAATATCATTAAAGAAAAAACTGGCTTATGAAAATTTTTTTTCCAGTTCTGAAAATATATCTCGTGATAGTTGGAAAGTTATAAATTATCACAGAAATAAATTTCAAAATAAAAAAGTCTGTCCAAGCGCGATTACATCAAACGATTTCAATAATTACTTTACTTCAGTGGCTAAACACATTAGAAGTTCTTTTAATTCTACAAATGAAAATGTAGCCATAGATTTTTTGAAAGATGTACACTCTCCTTGCAACTCTTTATTTTTATTACCTGTTAGTGATACTGAAATCAGGAATGTTTTGCATAGATTGAAAAATTCACACTGCACGGATTTTTATTTCTTAAACAAAAAAATAATTGTGGAAACAATCGATATTATTATTGACAAATTAATTATACTTTATAATAATTGTCTTACTGAGGGGATTTTCCCAGATGTTTTAAAAGTAACAAAAGTGCTACCAGTGTTCAAAAAGGGAGCTTTAGATGAAATTGGAAATTACCGTCCCATCTCAATCATTCCCATTTTCGGCAAAATTTTTGAGAGTATTCTAAACGTTCGTTTGGTAGAATATCTAGAAAAACACAAAATACTTCACTGTAACCAATATGGCTTTAGAAAAAAGTGTAGCACTACACTAGCTATACAGAAAATTGTGAGAGATATAGTTGATGGCTTGGAGGAAGGTCATTTTGTGTCTTTGACATTGTGTGACTTATCCAAAGCTTTTGACTGTGTTTCGCATGAATTACTGTTGGAAAAAATGCATAAGTACGGTATCAGGGGAAACACTCTTAATCTATTTAGATCATACCTAACAAATAGAAAACAGGCAGTTTTTCTTAATAACAGCTATTCTGAGTTTAACACTGTCGAATATGGTGTACCTCAAGGTTCGATATTAGGACCCACTTTGTTTCTTATTTATCTGAACGATTTATTTCACTACACTTTTCCTATAAAATGTGTTTGCTTCGCAGATGATACAACTCTCATAAATACTGATATTAATCAGAATAATTTAAAAATTAAAATAGATAGTGATACCAAGAAAGCAAAAAACTGGTTCTCACATAATGGGCTAATGCTAAATGAAGAGAAAAATCAGAATTTGATTTTTAGTTCTGATTGGAAGTATATCTTAAGAAACAGTGTTAAACTATTAGGAATCTTTATAGACGATAATTTGGATTGGAGTGCTCATATAGATTACTTAAGTTCTAGACTTGCTACAAGTATATTTTTAATGCGCAACTTAGTTTATATGATTCCTAAAAATACCCTTAGAATGTGCTACTTTGCACTATTTCATAGCCATTTACAGTACGGAATAACTGTTTGGGGTAATTCTTCTTACGCAGATCGAATTTTTAAATTACAAAAAAGAGTAGTGAGGATACTTGCAAGAGCAGAGTATAGGGATCACTGTAAACCTTTATTTCTGGATTTAGGTATTATGCCACTACCTTCACTCTATATTTATAACACGCTGATTGAAATTCATGCCAACAAAGGTAAGTTTAACGTAAACTCCAACGTCCATGATCACGATACAAGATCTAGAGATGCTATTAGAGCACAACGTTTTAGGTTGACAAAGAGCGTAAAAAATTCGACTGACGTTAGTTTGTATAACTGTTTGCCAGATGAAGTAAAAAGTCTTCACTTGTTATCATTTAAGCATAAAATCAAATCACACTTTTTGAAACATTGTTTCTATTCAAAAACGGAGTACTTAAGTACAGCTTTTACACAATAGTACTAGTTTGGTCAGGGCAGTTGCCTATTATAATTATATTTCATGTTTTTTTTATAATTCCACAAAGTGTGTTTGTCGTTTTTTTTTTAACTGTTAATATTAAATACATACATGTTTGTAATGTTTAAATTATCCAAAAAAAAAATTTTATATGTTTTATAAGTATTGTCACTATTCCTTTGACTTGTCAAAAACAAAACTATTTTTGTATATTTGATTAAATAAATTCTATTCTATTCTATATGTTAGTATGTCTGTTTCTATTGATGTTCTCTGCTTTATTTCGTCATTACTTCTCCTATCAATTCTTGTTATTCTGCAACATCGTCGCAGGCATTCCATCTCTGTTGCTACTATTATACTGCTGTTTTTCTTGTTTATAATCCAATTGTCAGTCCCATATGTCATAATACTTCGCACTAATGTTTTATAAATCTGTGTTTTTGTCTTCATATTTAGGTGTCTATCCCACCATACTGAGTCGTCAATCTGTAGATCTTCTATGTCTTCTTTACCTGTAGGTAGGTACTCTATTTTTGCGAGGTTAATATCTAGGCCAGCCTTGGTATATTCTTCTTGTAGTTTCTTCATCATGTAATTGAGGTCTTCTTGGTCTTGTGCAATCACTACTCGATCGTCTGAAAAGCTTAATGTATATATTATAATGTATATATATATATATATATTATATATATATATATTATATATTTATATATATATTTAGAGTGGAGGCCTAGACACGATGCTTATCGTAGTCGAGGACGTCCTCCAACAAGGTGGTCGGACGATTTAAACCGCATCCAGTCTAACTGGATTCAAGTTGCTCAAGATCGGATGCAATGGAATTATTTACGGGAGGCCTATGTTCAGCAGTGGACGCAAAATGGCTAATGATGATGATGATGTAGTCAAGACTTTCTCTAAGTATATTTTGAATAGGGTTGGAGATGTGGAACAACCCTGCAGGAGCCCTTTTATTGTGAAGTCTCCTATGATTCTTGTTTCCATCTTAATGGACACTTATTTTCTTTATACAGAGCTTTTGTAGCTTCTATGAGTGCCGTCTGTATTTGTAATTTGTACATTGCCTCCCATAGTTCTGACTTTGGTACAGAGTCATACTCCTTTCTCAGGTCCACAAACGCCAAATGTATATCTCTATTTTTTGCTTTTTTTCTTTTCCAACAGTTGTTCCAGTGTGTAAATGTGGTCCATGCATGATCTTCCTGCCGTGAAGCCTTCCTGATCTTCCCCGATTTTGCCTCTTATCGCTTGCTCTATCTTTTTTCGCAGTATCTTCCCATATTCATGA